CTCAGAGTGAAAAAAAATGCATCGATGGTGGGTTAATTGCTCGTGGGCATCGATGGTGGCTTAATTCCTCGTGGGCATCGATGGTGGCTTAATTCCTCGTGGGCATTGATGGTGGGTCAATGGCTCATGGGCATCGATGGTGGGTTAATTCCTCGTGGGCATCAATGGTGGCTTAATTGCTCGTGGGCATCAATCACAGCGATGCCTCTCTCTGTCCGGAGGAGGGCAATGACATTTGCAGCGCGCAGGACAGCAGTTTTGGGGAGCCGGGTGAATTGGCGAGAAGGAAAAGCGGAGCGATTGGTGCTTTTGAGCAGTTCAAGGAGTTGGTATTCCTCGAGCCAGGCTGGGAAGAGGCGCGTGCCGGTGCCGTGGGTCGGGCTGTGCCGGTCCAAGGGAAGCACGTCGTGCACGTGTAGGAGTCCCCCGAACTCCTGAGCCTCCTTGTTTGCTCAACTAGAAGCTCTTTAATGTATTTCATATTAATTAACGCCGAAATAGCTGCGCTTGGAGGAGAGATTGCGTCCAGATGTCGAAACCTCTGGATTTTAAAGCTTGTTTATTATAGCTCTTAAATTACAGATTAAACAGCTCCACTGATTTTTCAGATCATCCGGTAGAGCGGGGACTGATTAAAGGCAAACAAGTGAAAACCCCAAACCTTTTCCTTTGGCAGCGAAGAATTAATTTGGCCCTTTCGCCGGGTCTGGGGAGGGCGGAGGTGGTGGCTCTGGGGCAGCCCCGTGCTCAGCCACCAGCGCCCGCAGGTATGGACCGGACCCCGGTGTGGGGCTCAGACCTCGAGCGGAGGCATTTTTGGAGGGGGTTTACAGGCTCTTTGCTTCAGGATGCAAAGAATCAAGCGGCGCAAAACTGCCTCAAACTGGGCAAAAGTGCCCCAAAACATCCAAAACCGCCCCGTTGTCCAGGCGCGCCTTCCCTCTTGATGTCTTGAACCGCCTTCCCATCGCTTTTATTCCCCGTGTGTGGAAGTCCCTTCCCTCTCGGTGGCCTTTCAGTGATGTCCTTAGGCGATGGGTGGGGGAGGACCCCCCCCACCAGCCCCGGGGGAGGGGGGGGTTTAACCCTTCCCCACCCCCTCTCCTCCTCCCACCCGTCCGTACCAACCGCCGTGGGTGATGGCGCAGCGCGGGAGGAGGACGGTTTCACCTGCCTTCATTTACAGACGTACGTCGTTAAGTTTGTGGGTGGCACCAAGGGGTCTGCTTGGGGTATCGGAAACACCCAGAGGCTTTTGCACGGGGTAATTAATTAATCCCCTCTTTATATCCGGAGCACACGTGGTCCTGCACCGAGAAGATTGAGGCTCTGAAACCTCCGGCAAGCTTGCAGGGCTCTCGGTGACAGCCCGCGGCTCCCCCGTATTGAAATCTCAGGGTGTCTCAGATATTATTTTTATTGTTTTTTGTCCCCCCCCCCGCAACTGTTTGTTTCAAGTTAATTGGGATTTTGGACCCCGGCCAGGCTCCAGCTGCTGCCGCTGCTCCCAAACCGAAGATAAGCGGGAGCGCCGCGATCTTCTCTCTAACCTACTTGGAGCCGCTTTCGCTGGACGGAGGAGTCTCGAGCTCTTTCGTAACGTGGACCACATCTTAACAGCCAGTCTTGTGGGCTCCATCCCTCCCACTGCTTCTGACGCAGAGCATCTCCCCTCCCGCTCGCCTTGGCCAGCTTCCCTGGATGACTCCACTAATTGCTTACGTAGAAAAATAATGAGAAGGATGCGCATGATGTATTTTTAGATGTCTCTCGGTGGGATTTAGCAACCGGCGAGCTGGAGCCAGCACCTCCCCGTCCGTCTTCTGCATCCCAGCGGTGGCTGCTTGGTGGACCTCAGGAGGTTCTGCCCCGGGAGGTGGCACTTCTTTTGCAAGCTGCTGCCCTTTTTTTGGGGGGCTCCTCCTGGTCCTTAATGAATGGGTTATGGATGCTGCGTCCCTGGTGGTGCACAGGGTCCGTGCCGGGAAGCAGTGCCGCTGGTGTGCCCGTGCCGCGATGGGCACCGCCACCTCCTCACTCATCTCCAAGAGGATGGCCACGGTGGTGGCAGGGCAGTGGGGATCATAGCGGCTTGGAGACCATCTCAGCGCCCGAAGTAACCAACAGCAGGTTTTCCAGTGGATAAATACACGCAAGATGACGCATCTCACCACCAAAATTGCTTTTTTGTTTGTTTTTTTATTTAGCGTTCGTTTTTAGGTGTTCCCATCTGAAACCTCAGCAGAGCAGGGGAGAGGGAACCGATGCAAAATCTCATTAAATATCACTCCGAAGATTGTGATAATTGAGCATTGCAGCGAGTAGTTCCCTTATTTTTTCTCTTTGCTTCATCCATGGCAGGGCTCTTTGTGTCTGGGTGGTTTCCTGTGCCGGGGGGGGCCGGGCTCCAGCTCTTCCCTTTCCACCCGGGCGCGAGGAACGCAATTCTTCTTGCAGCACGACTTATCTGCCCTCGGAGCTGAAAACATCCTTTCTTTGCTCTTTTTGAATCCCCTGAATGAATGATTTCTCCTGCTGGTTAACATCAGCTTCCACACCAAAGGCTGTGGGAAAGTTTCGCAATTAGAGTGACTTTAATAGATCTGGTTTATGTCTTACAAACCCCATCGCTTTCTAATTCTCCGTCACATGTTTCCTTGATTACGTGGCGCGCAGCAGTGCGGCGACCGAAATAGCCTTACGGTCTGAAGGAAATCATCAGGAAATATGTTTTTTTTAAACCATAGGCAATTCTCTTTTCACAGGGCACCATTGGAAAAAGTCGGCGTTTCACGAAAAATGTGGCTTTTCTGGCACCACGGCTGCTGGCGTGGTGATGTTGGGAGCACGGTGCTCCATCAGTTCGCCCCAAAACCCCCCAATTTCTTCGAGTCTTGCTGTGAAAATTTTCTCTTCGTCCACCGAAATGGTTGGGATTCTTTTGGTGTTGGGCTTGCTTTGGGTTTTTGGAGAAGACGCTCGCTGCGCGTTCAGATCTTCCCGTGCAGGGTGATGCTTCGCTTGCCCGAGACATGGAGCCCCCTCCCTCCTTTTGGGGGGTTCTTGGTGGGCGAGGGAAGGCGAGTTTCGCCTGGGGTTGAGGTGCTGCTTTCCGAATAATAGAGTCACAGAATCACGGAATTTTCAGAGTTGGAAGGGACCTCTAGAGATCATCTCGTCCCACTCCCCTGCTGAAGCAGGACTGCCCAGAGCACATCCCTCAGGACTGCATCCAGGCGGGGCTTGAAAACCTCCAGAGAAGGGGACTCCCCCACCCCCCCGGGCAGCCTGTGCCACTGCTCTGTCACCCCAACCGTAAAGAAGTTTCTCCGTGTGTTGGAACGGAACTTCCTATGTTCCAACTTGTGCCCGTTGCCCCTCGTCCTGTCACTGGGAACCACCGAGAAGAGTCTGGCTCCATCCTCCTTCAACCCACCCTTTAGATACTTGTAAGTAGTAATAAGGTCTCCCCTCAGCCTTCTCTTCTCCAGGCTGAAGAGTCCCAGCGCTCTCAGCCTTTCCTCGTAAGGGAGATGCTCCAGTCCCTCAGTCATCTTGGTTGCCCTTCACTGGACTCTCTCCAGCAGTTCCCTGTCCCTCTTGAACTGGGGAGCCCAAAACTGGACACAGTATTCCAGTTGTGGCCTCACCAGTGCTGAGCAGAGGGGGAAAATGACCTCCCTCGACCTACTGGTCACACTCTTAACCTGACAAATAGGCAATTCCTTGCAGAAAATAATCTTAAACCGTATAAAAAAGGCAGATGGTAGCCTGATGCCCGTATTTCTAGCAGCTGTACCCGAGGGGTGCCCACCTCGAGGTGAGCCAGAAGGGATGGGTGAAGCTTGGTGGCCGTCAACCCTCTGATTCTCGCCCCCGAGGGCTTTCATCCCTCCTGGCTTCGCTCTCGATGTCTGCCGACGTAGGTGCTTGCCGCCGTTTCACCCCCGCCGGCGGCTGGAACCGCGCGGCCGCTCGCTCCCTCCCCCCGGTTGCCACGGGGGAGAGAATCAGAAGCGTAAAAGTGAGGAAAAACCTGTAGGTTGAGGTAAAGACAGTTTGATAAGTAGAGCAAAAGCCGCGCACGCCTGCAAAGCACACCGAGGAATTCATTCCCTGCTCCCCGTGGGCAGGTGGGTGCTTGGCCACCCCCAGCACAGCCCGGCTCCATCACAGTGACTTTGGGAAGACAATCGCCATCACTCCGAAATGTCCCCCCTTCCTCCTCCTTCCCCCCCTCCCCCCCAGCTGTATATGCTGCGTGTGACATGCTATGGCACGGAACGTCCCAGCTGTGTCCCCTCCCAACTCCTTGTGTCCCCCCAACCTGTTTTGGTGGGATGGGGTGAGGAGCAGAAAAGGTCTCGAGGGCTCAGCAACAACCAAACCCACCGCTTGCTGTTCCCAAACCCAAACCAGGGCGCTGCACTGGCTTCTAGTTAAAAAAAAAATAAATTAACTGGGTCCCAACCGAAACTGGGAGAGCGCGTCCGTGCTCGCCCTGAGTCAGCGCGGAAGCCGGGTGGAGCGTCGCCGCGGGAGGTCGGGGTGGTTGTGGGTGCAGCGCCCCCGAGATGGGTTTCCACCTCTTGCCCGGTGTCAGGAGTCGGTCGGCTGCCACGCGTGTTACCTCCTCCTGCTTTTTTTTGGAGGGGGTGAAAACTCTTGCTGGGGCCATGCCAGGGGTGCAGCGGTGACCCAGGGAGGCTGGAGGTGAAGGCTGAGGGACTCGGTGAGCGTCCCCATCGCCGTGGCCGGATGCCACCACGGGGCTGTCCCCTGTCCCCGGGGCGGTGAGGCCGGGCACATCGGGGTTTCCTGCGCCCTGTGGTTCGGCGGAGCCTGGGTGGCCCCTGGGAAGGGATTTTCCGCTCTGCACGCTTGAGATGTGCTCGAAGCTTCCTGCCCCGGCCCCGCAGCGCCCAGCTCGCGTTCCTTAACCCTTTCCTCTTACCCCTCCTCCCGGGGTGCTGAGGGGGTGCGTGCCCTGTCTCCCCCAGGTCCGGGGCGTATGCGAGGAGACCATGACCACTGATGAGGCCACCAAGAGCGAAGGGGAGGTGCAGGCGGCGGCTCTCGCCGAGCGCGGGGAGGACATCACGCCGGCTCGAGACCGAGGGGTCCTGAAGGTAAGGGG